CTGCATAATATAACACAACTATCCCACATATGACTGGAAATGCAATATTTTTTTTCCCAAAGTCTCAACAGTTCTAGGACTTTTCAAAAATCCATGTCCAAGTCTCCTCTGAGACTCAAGGCAAATTCTTAGCTGTGAACTTCTGTAAAAATAAAAAAATAAGTTACATAATCCCAAGGAACAATGTCACAGGGTAACATACCCTTTCTCAGAGGGAGGAATAGGTGGTAGAAAAGAATCAGACCAAAGTAAGACCAAAAATTAGCAGGGAAAACAGTATATCCTGTTGCTCCATGTCTAGAATCCAGGGTACAAGGTGGTAAAATATGAGTTCTAAAGGGCATGGGAAGCCCCACCTCCATGGCCATGCCAGTTGCAGCCCACATTTCCTCTCTCTTGAGTTTGCTCCACTCATGGGTTGTAGCTTTCCTGGACTGACATTCCATACTCCTGGGATCTCCAACTTCCTGTAGTCTGCACTGCACCTTTGGCTTCATTTCTGCAACTTTTGCACTGCCCTTTCAGGGGCCTTTGCCTACCCCTCACCCTAGAACTTTCTTTGGAATCTGCATGGAAGCATCCCTGACCTCACAACTTTTGCATCTTACACACCAGCAAAAATCACCATCACATAGATGACACCAAGTTCTACTGTCAGTGGAAGCAGTATCCAGGCCCCCTTGAAGCAGTATCCATACAACAATCTCTAGGTGCCTAAATAGCTGAGCACAGTGAAATGAATTCAGGGGAACCAATTCCCTAAGAGACCCTTCTTGATCTTGAAGATTCTCTTCTCAAATGAAAGTTTGACACTTTTGCTTCAAGGAAGCAAAAATGATTAGTGGGGTCTTACTGATTCCTGATATGCCCTCAAGGCATCTTTCTTCTTGTCTTTACAAGGTTCTTAACTTCTTTTTAATGGTGTTAATCTCTTTAGCAGCCACATCTCCTTTAGCCTCAATTTTGCTTGTGATTCCTTCTGGGCCAAAATGTAAGTTTTCAAAATTTTCTGCTCTGACTTTTGCCCCAGGATCTCACTATAAATCTGGCTAAAAGCAGCCAGCAGTACTCATGCCACAGCCTGAAGGACTGAGAAGGCTGTCTTGAAATTTCCTCTACAGATTCATTAGTCCCCTGCCTTTAATCTCAGTCTCCTGCAAAAAATCTCATGACATGGGCAAAATGTAAACAAATTTTCCACCAAAGTGTAACACTGGCCTCTAGTCCAACTGCCAATGGAGTCTTTGTTCCAAACTGAAAGATGACCCTGGCCTTTACTGTTCACATTTCTATCAGCATTCTGGTCTTCTGAAATATGACCAGCATACAGCTCAGCTTACAGCTTTCTATGGGCTTCTCTATCCTGCATCTCTCAACCATTCCAAACTCCTGCAAGCCAGTTCCAAAGGCTTCTAAACCACATGGTCAGTTATAGTCACAGCAATGACCCCACTCTTTATACCAATTTTCTGTATTAGCTTCCCCATTTCTGGAAACAATACCCAACACTCACAACTTAAAGAAGGAAAGGTTTAATTTAGCACATGGTTTGAGAGGATTCAGTCCATAGTCAGCTGGCCCCAGAGCAAGAACAGCTTGGGAGAGGGTGTGGTGGAGAAAAGCTGCTTATTTCATAGCAGCTGGGGAGCAAAGCAAGGGAAGAGTGCCAGAGAGCAACCGGCAAGGGACTTTATATAGTTCCCCCTCCCCATGGCCATCCAGACACTCCCAGGAATGTGCTGTATTAATCTGCTAGGCAGGCCAGGGATTTAGCTCAGTGGTTCTGCTGCCTGCCTCGAAAGCACAAGGACCAAAGTTCGATCCCCAGTACCAAAAAAAAGAAAAAAATCTGCTAGGCATTTCTTAATCCAGTGAAGTTGACATATCAGGATTAATAGTCAAAAAAAAAAAAAAAAAAGGATTAACAGTCAAAAGGTGCAATTTTTTGGAAATGGATCAACCTTGGATTCATACGCATAAGAGATGAGAATAACATAATAGATATATTTATAAATAATGACATGAATGTTTAATGCCTCTTTTCTGAAACAGAGGATGTGATAACTAAACACATGCTCATTGTATTATTTGGGTGATTCTCCAGTATTAGTTTTAAATCAAGAATTCTACATGATTTCGTTGGTTTCATAGTTTTAAATTCTGAGATTTAAATTTTTGATTCCTAAGTCAGTACCTTTTTGCTAATTTTTGTTGTATAGTGAAATGCAAATTTGACTTTGGTTGCCCTATAGTAACTATTTTAATTTAAATTTAATTTAAATTGACTTTGAAGGAATGATTGGTTTTTCTCCATGAGTAAGAATCATGAAGAAGTTTTTTACTCAATAATTGTACTGCTGACCAGTAACTAGTCTTATTTAGACTAAATAAAAGAATACTTAGACTATATAATACTATATAATATATATAATATTTAGACTATATAAGACATAATTGAGGAACTATTCTCGGTTTACCCTGGAGTTTTGACTTTAATGTACCTGGGATATGAGGTAAAAAATGGTTCTGATTAGTAATTTTTTCACTGATTCATACTTATGCATAGTGAATTGCTGCTTACCATTTAAAATGTTATGACTTAGTTTCTAAAGCTTTGTAGCAGACAGGGGAAGTAATTACCTACTGAATATTTTAATCTGGTTTGTTCACTTTTGGAATACTACAGGTGTTAAATGAATAATATAAAAAGAGATTGCAAACTGGCCATCTGTCCTCCAGATGTTTCAGTGAGAGGGTGCTACACCATTTTTAAAGCAACATTTAAAAATTTGAAAATTCATACCAAAGTACATTTTTTGATTATTGAAAAAATATTCTGAGTGGGTTCTACATCCCTGCGTAGAACAAAACAATTGACTAGTCCAATCCTCATCATAACATTAGATTTCCTTTAGGGCACTAGTGTTCTAGAACCTGAAATTTTTAATTTTTTTCTCAGTTTATATGCTATGTACTATCTGTAGCTTCTTTGACAACCATTTGATACCTGTGTAAATATTGATGTAGCCTTTATTTAGCTAACTCTGCCTAGATATTCCCTGTACTTGTATGCCATTGGTTTTTGTTATCCGTGCTGAATCCACTCTCATCCTGTGTTGAATTTTTCTATGGAACATTAAGGTTTTTTTTTTTTATTTTGGAAAAAGCAGATGCATGAGTAAAAACTTAGGGTTCATAAAAATGATTTTGACCTCTGGATTCAATCTTTGTCATTAAATTGTTAATATAAAATAAACAAAGTCTTGGGACTCAAAAATGGGTTGTAGTATGGGCTGGCTGGTAAGATCAGATTCAGAAACATCCCTTCCCCACTTTTTAGATTTCTGTACTGCCAGGCTTGCTAAGTCCTTCACAGATAATTACAGTCGAGTGTCTCTGCTCCAGAGGATCTTTAATAGGAATCTCAGCCCCCATCAAAAGCCATGAAGCTGTGATAACCCAAATTTGGACAGGTACCAGCAGGAAGTGAATGAGTTTAGGGGCATCAGAGCCTTCCTAGAGCCCCCAAATCACAGATTAGCTCTGCAGTTTAGTCTGCTGACAGCTTTCTAATGGACACTCAAGTTATTAGTGGAAAGATTCTGTCATTTTCCCTAAAGATAATGCTTCTCTTAAGAGATTGGAGGACTTGAGAGTCTTTGGAAACTGCTCTGGGACTATCGACATCATGGCTATTTTGACCTCAGTAACCCAAAGCTACCAACAATAGCAGAGGAGCCAAAAGGCCAGTCAGACAGTTTTTCTCTTTTATTTCAGAAGGCAAATGATTCCTTAAGTGTGTTGGAAATACAAAACATAAATAAAAAACATGTTGATTTCCTCTGTGTGAAGATTTGTTTTGCAAGGTCCATATTTAAGCCTTACCTGTAACTTGCACAGCCCTGGGCAACAAATGTCTCATCGAATCAATTAATGGTTTAAAGTAGCTTGCTAAACTTCGTTTTTCTGCGTACCTTCAGTTAACTAATTCTGTTAGCAAAGACTGTTGATAGTTTAAGAAAAAATGAAGGAGTCTGTCTCTGGCAGAGATTCCTAATTTGTGATGTTTGGTGGTTACCACACCCAAGGTTTCCATCTTAATTAGAAACACTGGAGTGTAATATTGTTGTGGCTGTTTCTCTAGCTGTTAATTTAGCTGATTTGAATCCATTAAGGTTTTAATAGAAACAATTTCACACTAATTAGCCAGCAGCTCCATTTGCTTGAAGTTGGTATCAGGTAGGATGTGCTGATCTTTCTCCATGGGGCCTCTTAAAGCAAACTCTGCACGGGCTAACAGTCCCAGCCCTGGCTACATTTAAAAAACAGATCTTCGAAACCACTTGTATTTATAATCAAAACCAGAGTCTAGCCAGTGACTGAACCAGCTGCTTGGGTTTTGCTTTTCTAGCTGCATTTCCAATGAAAAAATATCAAGATGTTTTGTTTATTGGTTATTTCCAGGCAATCTGCCACTAAGCTAAGACAAAAGCTTTACAATATTGGTTAGCATCTTAAGAATTTTTTTTAAAGGTGAAGCAAGTACTTTCCACTTCATTATTTTATTAAGATGTTAGTGATTTTGAAAGTCTGATATTTGTGTCTGCTAACTCTTGGAGACTTTCTATGGTTTTCTGTGTTTTGCATGGGACTGTTCAAGCTGCTCAGACAGTCCTTTGTTCCAAGGTGCTATTTCCAAGGCATAGAGAATGATCCATCTCAGTCATTTCCCAAGGTCAGGAGAGGGGCTCAGTCCAGATCTGGGAGACAGACCTGAGCCTCCATTATCCTCATTCAGCAGTTCCCTTCCTCCTTGCATAGGTAACTATGTCATTCAGCCCCTGAACAAAAGCTTCCTCTACAGGTCATGGTTACAGATAGTTCGTTTTAAGCTGCAAACCAGCTGAAGGGCAATTCAGCTGAGAGGAAGGTGGGGGACACTAGCAGAGAGAACTTAATGATTGCACTCTCTGTCTCCTCTGTGCCCCCTCCCCCTGCAGCTGTATCCCATGGAACTTCCTCCCCCGTCAGTAAGAACGCTTTCCAGTGCTTGTCAGTTGTCTGCTTTGAGAGGTAACTCAGATGGTGATGGAGCTTTAATCAGCCCGGGAAACGGAGCCTTGAGCCAGCATGTTCACTGCAGAGGTGTGTGTGACAACATGGCAACAAAAGGGATCCCGCCGGACATCACTTCACCGTCACATCACTTGGTTTCCTTGGGGTAGGAGCTTCACTTCTCAATTCCTGCTTTCACTGGGCCATTAGTCTTAACCTACATTGCCTCATTTCAGAATTCAATGTCTACCTTTCGTAGAGTGACATAGTGCACTTCACTGTACTATGAAAAATTTGTTCTCATTCACTCATTCAACAACCATTTATTGAATATTTATAAAGGGATCAGGTAGACTAGATTTTCCAAGATAACTGCATTTAAAGAAATTTTGATATTTTCCTTAAGGCAATTTATTAACCACATTAAATATAGTCTTAATATTTGTGTTCTTATAAATAAACAAATTAGGAAAATGAGGAGTATGTTATGCTTCCATCTGATCATATCAGCTGTGTTAGAATCTTTGTTAGGAACATGATGATAAGGTGTGATTCTTGCTTCAGATATGTTTAGCATAGCTAGGAACAGGAGGTATGTGCACCAGTAACTCCAATGGAGGGTGGAGAGAAACCAGGGTCCAAGTAGGAAACAGTGGGCGCTTCAGAGAAGATTAGCTTGAGCTCTGCAGCCCACCCAGAGCAAGCCTCTCAGCCAGTGCAGAGGGATAAAAAGCTTTGCAACAAATAGCAGAGGTCTGCGAGTAGGGTGTGGAAAGCATGCAAAATGTGTGAGCAGAAGTCTGCAGAGAAGGATACGGGTTCGGGTCATGTGAGGCAAGTACAGTGAGGTCAAGAGGGAATGATGCATTGAGAGATCCAGGGAGACTGGACATCATGTAGTAAGTGGAGGGGAGAGGGTGAAGCTGGAGGTCATTAAGGTGGGGGTCGCAATCAGAGAGGCTAGGATGACATCCACGAGTAGAAGGGAGGAGATACTGGGAAGATGGGGAACACAGGAAACTAGAAAGGTAGGTGGGACCTTTGATGGTACAGGAAATGGTCAGGCCTCTGGCAGGAACAGTATGGCATTGGTCCAGTGAAACAGTGGCCAGGGAAAAAGAACTCTGGGTGAGTTAGAGCAGCACTTCTCAAACTCTAATGTGTGTACAAACCACTTGGGCGTTTGTAAAAAAAAAAAAAAAAAAAAAGCTGCCTTTGTAAGTCTGGGCAGGGCCTGAGATTCAGACTCCCAGGTGAGGCCCATGTGCTGGCCCACGGACCACACTTTGAGTGGCACGGAGCTAAAACTACTTCCATTTGCTAGTCTCAGGCAGTGATTTGTAACAGCTGAAAAATCTTATGAGGCAGTGACCTGATTGTTCCTAAGTGTTTTTATTTCTCTAAATCTCATTCTAATTGATTTCTAGTTTCACAGCCCTGATCTGATAGAATTCATAGGATGGTTTCAATTCTTTATATTTATTCAAGCAGACCTTATGGACTAGTGTATGGTCTATTTTGGAGAAAGTTGTGTGCTACTGAGAAGAATGTGTATTCTGGTGTCGTAGGGTAGAACACTCTGTAGATATCAATTAAGTCCATTTGTTTGAAGTATGGTTCAGCTCTGATATTTCCTTGCTAATATTTTCTTTAGTTGATCTATTTGTGAATGTGGAGTACTGAGGCTACCCACTATACTTGTGTTAGTGTTTATTTGATCTTTTATGTTTGGTAGTGTTTGTTTTTTGAAGTTGGGTGCACTGATATTCAGTGCATATATATTTACAGTTGTTATCTCTTCCTGTTGAATTGTTCTCTTAACTAATATAGAGACTTTCTTTGCCTTTTCTTATCAGTTTTAGCTTAAAGTTTACTTTGAGAATAAAATTGCTACCCTGCTTGCTTTCAGGGTTGTGGTGCATGGAACATTGTTTTCCATCTTTTGATTTTTAGCCTATGAATTTCTTTTTTGATTGGATGAGTTTCTTAAATGCAGCAGGCCCTTGAGTTTTGTTTTGGATCTAATCTTCCACTATGTGTTTTTTAATTGGGGAATTAAGGCCATTTATATTTTGGGGTTTTTTTGTTTTTTGTTTTGGTACCGGGGATTGAACTTGGGTCCTTGTGCTTGCCCAGCAGGTGGCGAAACCACTGAGCTAAATCCCTGGCCCTAAGGCCATTTATATTGAGAGTTATTACTGAAAGGTATTGACTTATTCCTGTCATTGCATTCTTTTCCTATTGTTGAAGCCTTTATTTTTCTCTTTCTGTTTAACCTCTCACCTTGCTTGGTGTATTCATTCCATCCTACTTTTGGCCTTTGTTGGGCTCATTGTCGCTCTAGGGTATTGTTGAGTATTTTTTGAGTACTGTTTTAGTGTTCATGAATTTCTTAAGGTGTTCTGTCTCTTGGAATGTCCTTATTTCTCCATCACTTTTGTTTTTTGGGGTTTTTTTTTGGTACCGGGGATCGAACTCGGGTCCTTCTGCTTGTGAGGCAGGTGGTGGAACCACTGAGCTAAATCCCCGGCCCTCTCCATCACTTTTGAAAGACAATTTTGCAGGATAGATCAGTCTGGGTTGGCTGTTGTTTTCTTTTAGGGCTCAAAACTTCACTCTAAGCTCTTCTGGCCTTTACAGTTTGTGTTGAAAAGTCTTCTGTAATCCTAATGGCTTTACATTTGTAGGTGATCTTTTATTTTTCTATAGTGACTTTTAAGATTTTGTCTTTGTGTTAGTCTTCTGGGATTTTGGCTATGATGTGTCATAGGGTGCTTCTTTTTTCACTGTAATTATTTGGCATTCTGCAAACCTCACTTACCTGTATGGTGAATTCTTTCTCCATACTTAGCAAGTTTTCTGCTATGATTTCTATGAACAGATTTTTAAATTCCATGTGTATTGTTCTCTAATTTCTAACTTTAGTTAGCCTTAGTTTGGTCTTCTTAGCCTCATCTAGTAGGTGTTGGAGGAATTTTCTTTGCTCTCTTACCATATTTAAGGTTTCTCTGAGTATGTCATCATGCGATTCGATTTTGTCCTCGAGATCTGAAATCTTTTCCCTCACATTGGTCATTTCTACTGTTTATGTATTCAGTAGAATTTTTTATCTTTGATATTTCTCTTTTCCACCTTTTCATGGAGTCTGGTTCTTTGTAAATTTCTCATTAATGCTTTGAACATTTTTGGTCATCTCTTCTATAAGCCTTGCTTCTAATTTTTGTTTTTATTTCTTCCACAATTACATTGATCAGTTTGTTAGTTCCAGTCTTTTGTGTTATGTAATCTTTGAGCGTACTGAGTTTCTTTGCTGCCTCTGAAATCATTTTGTGCAGCTCAGCTATCTGGTGTTTGATTTCCTCTCCATCAGTGACCCCTTGGATTTGCTTTGGAAGTTGGGATTCTCTGGAGGGATTTTTTTTTTTGGTACTGGGGATCAAATGTGGGACAGTTTGAACTTGCAAGGCAGGTGCTGGAGCCACTGAGCTAAATCACTGCCACTCTCTGGAGGCATTTTATTGCCTTGTTTTTCATGTTCCTCTGTGTGTGTGTGTGTACATGTGCTGAGGGTTGAGGTCAGATAGAGTGAAGAGAATTCGTTGTTGGTATGAAGATCTCTTTAGTTAGATTCTGTTTCCTAGTGATGTGTTCTTGGCTTTATTTGTCAAGAGGTATTTTTTTTGTTTGGGGGTTTTTTTTTTGGTACCGGGGATTGAACTTAGGACCTTGTACTTACGAAGAGGCGCAAAGCCACTGAGCCAAGTCCCCTGCCCGCCAAGAGGTTTTGTTTACCACGTCAACCTATTCAATTTAATGGGGTTGGACCCTGTAGCTGTTTTGTAAGGAATGAGTTTCTACTGGTTATAACAGCATTCACAGATCCAATCATATATCAATCATAAACATTAAAACTTGTTGCGATAACTTCACACTTTTTGAAATAACTCTTAAAGAAGGTATTATATTTCTATTTTCAGTTATCTAGGATGTTGAGAGTGGGGAGAGGGAGAAGAGGGGGAAAGGAAGGGCCTATATCACTGGGAAAATTAAGAGAAATGTCAGAAGGTGAAAATAGGAGGTTGGACTCTGGAGTTATTTTGTAATTGTGTTAAAGCTAGTATGGAGAGGGTTTGAGAGAGCATTTGCGTAGGTGGAAGGAGGTGTGTAGGTGGGTGGAATTATATTTAGAGATTAAGGGAGACTGAGATCGTCAGAACCTGGCAATACACTTGTGAGTTGTTTTGTTTGGACCATCTAAACCCAATTTTGTTAAGGGCTACCTGGACTTGCCCTGGAAAAGTGCTGTTTAAGTTGTAGCCCTGGGTGATTCTTCCTCTCTAATGTACTTCTAAAGGCCATGTTATATGGTATGTATGCTGTAGATCGATGGAGAGGAAGAAGGGGGAGGCAAGAAGGCAAGAAAATGAGGAGGAGAGGAGATACAAAGAATAGAGAGGGAAGAAAGTAAAAAATAAATGAGAGAAGTGCTAAAAGAGGAAGCAGGTCAAAGGCGGAAAACCCTAAAGAATAAAGTAAAGTAAAATAACAAAATAATACCAATAAAGAAGCAGAAACCAGAAGAAAAAAATAAAAATACGTAAAAAATGAAAACAGAAAAATCCCTCAACAACTAGGATGACCCAAATCAAACAATCAAGCGAAGAAACCACAAACAGACAGACGAACCCTCACACAGTCATTGTAGCATTAACCCCGGGCGTCTATGCATCTCCGTCTACACTGGAGTGGCAGTCTGATTGCCAGCAGCCAAGCGCTTTGCTCCTGTGAACCAGGCAGTTGCCTGCCCAAAGCAGCGAGGGCTGTCACTCCCTCCAAAGCCACGTCCTGGTTGTGCTGTGCTTTGGGCCTGATCTCAAGGTCCAGTTGCATCAATCTTGAAGGAAGCAAATGCGGTGTAGTTGGCTCAACTCGTGGTTGTCCAGTTCTCCATCGAATTCTGCCAGGCACCTCATGCTCTCTTCCTTCCTCCACTGCCTGGCACGTTTCACGCTCAGCTCCAGTGTCTTCTCCCCACAGGGTTTCCTTGCCTGGTATACGGCCAGAAGACCTCTGTCCCCAGCACTACTCACTCTCTCTCTGTACCCAGCTGCCTGTCCGTCTCAGCCCTCCCTGTACAATCTAGGGCTGCCACCAGGCCTGGCAGAG